CATAGTTTATAACTTGGCTCAATGCAATGCAACGTTGTTGCAGCTGCAAAATGTAACGCTTAATTTTCCTGCTATCTGCATTCTAGTGCAAATTAGTTTGTGTTTTATTAGTTTAGCCTCACTTGTTTTTGAACTATTCAATTAATTAATGGGCAGCTTGTAAACGCTGAACCCAGTTGTTAACAGCCATTATTCACTAGCTGCCCCACCAGCCATAAATCCATCGAGGAGTTCGATTAACCAATGCCACTTTCGAAGCAGTTGACATGTGTGACTTGTTCCATTAACGATTATCATCGCCGGGCACGCAACTTGCCAGTTTTCCTCGACATTTCCCAGATTTTCTTGCCAGTTTTGTACACTTTTTTTGCGCCGCCGTCGACGGAAAGCCGTGCAACAAGTGCGAAAAGTGCGGCTCATGTTTATAAATCAAATCTGCGGCGCTGGAAACCAGGCGCCCCAATCCCAATCTCAAATCCCAAATCCTGTCGGGCACAAAAATTAATCACAACTCATTCGTACATGGTGCGCACTGAGCCCCAAATCCATTTGGTGTCGTCTACTTTCCTTTCGCCCCATGGCACATGTGCCGCCGGGCGGCAAGAAGTGGGTGGCAAGTGGCAAGTGGCAAGTGGGCGGGGCCAATGGCTGAAAAGTGGGCGGAGCATTTAGTCGGCGGCAGCGAAACATTTTTGCGCACGTTAATTCCATTAAAAGCCGCATTATGCGCGCCTGGCGATGCCGCAAAAAAGCATTTTACGTGCCGACTTTGGAATTTATGTTGCATACTTGGTCTCCTATTTTCGTTCCTATTTTTGTGGCTTTTGGCGTCGGGGAGGAAAGCCACGTCGAGATTTTAAATAGCACGCTTATGAAAGCCTAAATAAAGCGCTGAATCCCACAAAATGTGCTAAAAATCGAAGAAAATGAGCATCGCTGATAATTAAAAGCTTATTAAATGATAGCATTGCATTTCCCATGACATGTATTTTTATATATATTTCATAAATATTAAATATTTATGCAGCCCAAAGAAAAGTGCAGTTTCCCCGCCGTGCAGCTGGAAACTCGGCAATAAATTGTATGAATATGCATGCATTTCAGCTCAGTGCGCATATAGAAAACTATTGATTTCATAAGCTGTTGCGACATTTGCGGACGATTTATTGTGTGATCTGTTTGACAGATTTCGCCACAGCGTGCGTCATAAAAAGTCACGCTAATGCTGCACTTTGTGTGTACTTTTTATGTCATTCCCGTCCTTCCGTCCTTTTGTTCCTTCGGGGGTGCGAGGTCCTTGCACATCGCGTGTGCGTCCAGCTCCTTTTGATCCCAGTTGACCCATAAATACGCACGTACGACCGGCGTGACCCCGCGTTGACCCCGCGTGACCCCGAAATGATGACCCCCTCGCACCCCTCGCACCCCTGTGACATTGCGGTGCACATGGGGCAAATTGGTATGGTCGCAAATGATATGCTTCAATTTAATTGCACTGCACTAATCAGCAAAATGCGACAAACAGCCGGCTGACATGCAAGCCGTGCTCTGCGGTTCATGGCCAATGACAATCCCCCGTCACCGATAATTGGCCAAAACTGTGGCCACATTGCTGTCTTCTTCGAGGAAAATCCACAGTAATCGTCGCCTTGAAAGGCTGCCTTTTTGTGTGGTTGATCCGATTTATTGCTGTTTGTATTGGAAAATGAGTAAGCCCTCCACAATTCAGCTAAATTTATGCGTGTTCTTTAACTGCTGATATTTTGGGTTCAAGCTTAAAGAAAACTAACTATATAACTAAACTATTGCTTGACTTGAACCTGACTTGGAATTTTCGCGGCGCGCGTAAGTCGGAAAATTGATTTGTACATTTGCATCGAGGGTTTTCCTTGCAGCAGCAGGCTGGGGCATTGCACTGCAATTGGCCAATTTCCACCCAGCTTTCCCCGCCATTTTGCTGCTATTTTGCTGCTATTTTCCTGCAGTCTGTGTAATTTTAATGAAAGTGCACTGAAGTTGACTGGCTTCTGTGCTGCTCATGTGCCACTATCCCCAGTCCAATATTATTCACGCTCAATTAAGCTGCTGCTCATCCCCACAGCCACTTTCCATCTGGATTTTCCCCCGCTTGCCCCGCTTTTCCGCCCTTTTCCTCGGCGACAACTACTTGTATGCAACTATGGCTCGCAGCAAATTGCATTTGCACTCAATTTGCAGTTGCCACGCCCATTCTTAGGGAGCTGATTAGCAAACAGCAGTAATCAACATTTTATTACAAATAATCAAAAAAATATTCAAGCATACTAATATATTAAATTAGTTGAATTATTTGAATTATCTGTAACCGAGATTAAATCACTTTGTATTACGCCGGCAGGAAGTTAGAATTTCACAGGCAACAACCTATTATTTTGCACCCAGCTGTAGGATTTGGCAGGAGCTCTGTCACGAGCCATTAAGCAGCTATTGTTTTGGACTTTCTCCGAAGGGCTGGGCATGCAATAAAATCCAAATTCCAGCCCCTCACAACTGAGGGAAAGCCTTCGGGAAAGTTAACGCTTGATTTCTGCACTAAAAACCAGAAGTTTGCCATTCTTTTGGGTCATTAGTTGGTAATTTATCAAAGTCATGAATTTATATTGTATGCCCGCTCCTGCCACGCCCCTAGCCGCACCGCCGCCCCCGGCAGCTGCAAAGTGCAGATGCAAAGTTTTCCATGCGGCAGCTGTCATAAAAGCAAGTGGGGAAATGGGGGAAATGGGGGAAATGCTGGAAATTGGGAGCATGGCAAGTCAAGTAAAGTCGAGTCAAGTCAACTCACGGCGCAGCAATAAAATATGAATCGCTGGACTTGAATCCTATAGCTGCAGCCCGAGTAATTGGGCTCCATCTTGTCGTCTTTCAATTAGTCAAATTCGAAGCGCGATTCTGATTAAAATTCGCCAGCAGCGCTAATAGTTTTTCCCATTTTAATGCCTCATTTAACTCAAGTGCTGAAGTGAAGTGAAGTGAAGTGCTTGGCCATACACCGAGAGAAAAAAGGCACTAAGAAGGCATTTATGCTCAAACAAAAACGTAAAGCCAATCCTGCGCAGCAGCATTTCCTCCCATTTTCGCTCAGTGTCACCCAGGTGAGTCATGGCCATGACTTCTGAGTGTCTTGGCCAACCAGACTATCCTGGCCATCTCACCAGCTCGACCAGCTCGACCATCCTGATCATTTGTGCTGCTCATTTCGGCCGCTTGTCGTGCACTTGACAATGCAATTTGCGGCAGATTGCCGTCTGCAGATTGCTGCTATGAATGGCCGCCTTTGGCCAGAGGTTCTCGGCCCTTTGGATGTATCTCGACATTCATTGCATTAGTTTGGGCGCTTAGTTGCGGGCCAGCAGACCAATTAGCTCCCATTCCAGTCCAGTGCTCCACTCCATCGAATGCAAATTCAAATGCAAATGCTACTGGGGGACTGCTTCATTAATGCAAAAATATGCGCAAACTTTCGGACCGCACTTGTAGTGGCCAGAAATTCCCGGCTGCTCTCTGGATACGGATGCGAATTTGCAAATTAACTGCGAACGGGCCCTTTTTCCAGCCGAGCTCAATTGTATCGAAGGCTGGGAAAAATCAGGGAGCAGGGCGAAAAGTAATTCAAGTTGGCACAAACAATCGCGAGGACTTCTGCTGCTGATTCCGCCAAGGATCCGAGGATTTAAATTGCCATGAATTCACTGGACTTTCTGGTCAACTGGCCATAAAACGGTTTTTGATTATTATTATTCGCATTAAGCATTCATTTAACTTCAGCTCGAATTGGTTCGCTTTAATGCAACATTTCAAGAAGAAGCCAAACTACTAGTTGCAATCTATACAATTGCAGTCACACATAGTTTCTCGGCCATCGGAAGCAGCTCAATAATATCAAGTATACGCCCGGTGCAACCAGCTTCTGAATGCACTCGAATTCAAATTCAGTGAAACGTGGCCAACAGCCACAGGCAAAAAGGAAGCCCTTTGGGCAGCTACATTTGCTGGTTACTGATTACTGGTTTGGGCCACACCGAATACGAGTTGAGGACAACGCTGTTGATGGCCATGATCAGGTTGTTTCACTCGTTGTCGGCTCATAATGTGTTTCCGCTTGCCTGCTTCATTTAATTATGATTTCCGGTGTCGAGGCGAACAACTGAACAACTGAGTGCCGAGCAGGATTGGGTGAGCCGCCACGCACACGTGCTCGTTATTACAGCTCCTTGATTGCTCTTCACAAAAAATTACCAGGAGATGGAAAGCTCCTGACCAACAAATAGCGCTGGCGTTTGAGGAATTTCCGGGAAATTTCAGATACTTTCTGCATTTGTATCTATTGCCTGGCAAGCAGTCACCTTTTAATTTGAGTCCACAAAAAATAATACTTTCCGCAACACAGCTGACTGTAGATGTAATTTTAAAGAAAAGCAGCACAGCCCAAGTCATTACTCATCATCTCCAAGATAACTCTGCTTCAGCTGCGTCCAGCGGATTATGATTGGCCGCCCAAGTTGTCAGAAACTCCGGGCTTGGTTAGAGGGTATGTCGAGGGCGAGGCGAGCCCGTCAACAGCCATTCATCAACTCGACAAGCAACAATTTTGCTGCTCCACAAGGATATCTATCCTTTTGCAATTTGCCTGTATTAGAAACTCATTTCCGTTTGTAATTGAGTCGCTGCTGGCTGCTGGCTGCTGCCAGCTGGTGCATGTGATGTGTAGAGGAGTATTAGGTGGTTCTGGTTCTGCTCCTGTTTCGGTTGCTGTATTAGAACCTGGTCCCTGTGCCTTTGAAATCTGAATTCTGAAATCCCGCCCCACATTACGCCGATGGTTATGCAAATTAATGGGCTTGTCAGCTGGCTCGTCCCCGTTCGGCTTCTGGCTTTCTGGCTTTCTGGTTTCCTGGCTTCCTGGCCTCCGATGAATTGATTTGCCCAACTGAACCGTGTCCCTCTTCCGCTCTACATTGCAGAACCATCGCCGCTTTATGACAACAATCACTACCACGAGGAGTGCCTGCGCTGCAATTCGTGTGGTCTGAACTTGACTGGGCCCAACCAAAAACGGGCCAGGAGATTCAAGGTAAGTTCACAAAAATAAAAATAAAATGGGGTAATAGCCCTAATTCGTTTTGCCAAGAAGTATTCCACGAAAATATTGCTCAAATATTTGGTACATTTATTTTAATATATTATAACCCAAAAATGTAATTGAACTGATAACAAAGTGGGCTAAAATATAATATATGTTGGCTGGCATTTATTTTAATATATTATTTTCTAAAAATATATAGTAATTGAACTGATAACAAAGTGGGATATGTTGGCTAGCATTTATTTTAATATATTATTTTCTAAAAATATAATTGAACTGATAACAAAGTGGGCTAAAATATATGTTGGCTAGCATTTATTTTAATATATTATAACCCAAAAATATAATTGAACTGATAACAAAGTGGGCTAAAATATATGTTGGCTAGCATTTATTTTAGTATTATATATTAATTTCTAAAAATATAATTGAACTGATGACAAAGTGGGCTAAAATATATGTTGGCTAGCATTTATTTTAGTATTATATATTAATTTCTAAAAATATAATTGAACTGATAACAAAGTGGGCTAAAATATATGTTGGCTAGCATTTATTTTAATATATTATAACCCAAAAATGTAATTGAACTGATAGCAAAGTGGGCTAAAATATATGTTAGCTAGTATTTATTTTAATATATTATAACCCAAAAATATAATTGAACTGATAACAAAGTGGCATAAAATATATGTTGGCTAGCATTTATTTTAATATATTATTTTCTAAAAATATAATTGAACTGATGACAAAGTGGGCTAAAATATATGTTGGCTGGCATTTATTTTAGTATTATATATTAATTTCTAAAAATATAATTGAACTGATAACAAAGTGGGCTAAAATATATGTTGGCCAGCATTTATTTTAATATATTATAACCCAAAAATGTAATTGAACTGATAACAAAGTGGGCTAAAATATATGTTGGCTGGCATTTATTTTAATATATTATTTTCTAAAAATATATAGTAATTGAACTGATAACAAAGTGGGCTAAAATATATGTTGGCTGGCATTTATTTTAATATATTAATTTCTAAAAATATATAGTAATTGAACTGATAACAAAGTGCGCTAAAATATATGTTGGCTAGCCTAACAAACATTTAATTTTAAGTCATTTCTCCCGTTTAAATGATGTAATTGTGCAAGGAGCTTTTTGTTAATTTGTAAATTCCGACAGTCTGCAGCAAAGTCCTAATGTTTCGCTTTCTCATGTCAAGTGAAAGGTCTCATCCAAAATTAATTGAAATACGAAAGAAGCTCCCCGACTTTTTTGTGGCGTTGTGATGCACTGATGTAAATAAGCAATGAGCTCGGTGTCTCCTGCTCTTTTTTGTGACTTGTCCTATCAAAAATGGGAAACAAAAACCAGTTAAGAAACTGGTTTATGATGCAAAAGCTTTTCTTGCGCGTCTTAAAAATGTGAAAATAAAGACTTTGAGCGCGCCCAAGTAGCGAAAATAATTGCCAATTTGAAAAGGTTACCTACACTTGTATTTATTTGCCCTCTGAGCCCACCGCCCACTCATCTGAAATGCATTCGCCCATTCGACGAGCTCATTACGGATGACGGATGCACGGGCGGCAGGCGGCTTAATCAAAATTACATATGGGCAGGAAGGGCACACGAAAAAGTACCAAAAGCGAAGCGCGACTGAATCACTTACGGCGAAACTCCGGGCGGCAAGAATCCCGCAAACTCAAATGGCCAACTGATTCCGGCTCTCTCTCTCCCTCTCTCTCATCCTGCAGAACCAGATCCTGTGCGACCTGCATTTCGCGGACGTGGCCCTAATGGAATGCTCCGATTTCATGCAGCAGCTGCGGAGCTTCAAGCCACAATCCTTGGGCTGCGCGGTGGCCAGGCGCAAAAGTTCCACGACGCTGATATTCCCGCTGCCACCGCAGGCTTGCTCAGGTATGTACTAAACACATACACATACACATACACATACACATACAATTATACTTGCCGCATGCACGAAATTATGGCCAAATCGGGACACAGTCCAGCTGATACCCCGCAAATTTGGCTGCGATCACATTCCCCTTCCCTATTACCCTGTCATCCATAATTGCCTCTACATTCCACCCACAAGTGTCCAAAAGTATGCAACGATTGTGTTTTTTGATGCTATTGCTTGCATACTTTTGGGCGTCCGCGAAGGTAATCCAGCATTAGTCGCCAAAAAGCACAGAAAACCATGAGAATCATAGTCCGCTATCTCGTTAAATAATCAGCATTACTTTCCAGGGATATATCCCATTCGAGCTGAAAAAAAGCAAACCCTTCTATGGCATAAGCTTCAGTTTTTCGCTTTTTTGCGATATGTGTGTGTGTGCGTGGCGTCATCATTATAATTCAAATGAGATTTGCGCGCACAGCAATCTACTCACCCACACACTCGCACACCCACACAGAAAGGGGGAAACTGAAGAAGAAAGCGGCGAAAGCGGAGAAAGGAACGATAGAGAGGCGAGAGCGCCACGTCTACAAGTTGGAGAATGTTTGGCATTTTGCATAATAAAGTTGTTCAAACATATTTGACGTCGGGTTGCGCACTCACACTCATGCACTCGCAGACTCATACACCTATACCCGCCCACACACACACAAAAAAAAAGAAAAAACACACACACACACACGCACGCATAACGGTACACACAGACAGATATAACAGCCATTTTTCGCTGACATAAACTTTCAATTCGGTTCTCATTTTACTTTATTTCCTTTCGTTTTTTTTATTTCGCCGGCGCGCGGCGAGCGATTTAATTAAAATCCCCAAAAACATAGCGAGCGAAAACGGAACATTTCTTAACATTATGAATTTCTGCATTTTGAACGCAAAGTTTATTAACTGGATTTTTATTACGAAACTTGTGCCCGAAACTGGGGCGTCCATTTTAATTACAATATCACGAAACAAATGAAACAAGCGAAGCGAAGTTTGCCAAACGGCGCTCTTCATTTCATCCAACGATTTACGAGCCATTTTGGCAATACGACTATTTATGCATCGATTTAACTACATTTTTAAAAGTCATTCAAAGTGGCAGCGTATTTGCGATCCTTTGTCCCATTTCTAAGTCAGTTTTTCAACGGTTGCATACTAGCACGTGCAGATCAGCGGAGTGACTGCCATTAAACTAGACATGTTTGGGCTGGGATACTTCTGCGCAATCCACCCACGTCCGCACACACATCCGCACAGACATCCGCATCCGCCAGCCCTTAGCATATGTATTGGTGCTCAGCTGCGCTCATTTGAAGCGGCATTAAGTGTGCACTCGAGTAAAGTGATTTGATGCGTGCCACATTCGAGTGCAGCACTAGCTGTTTAGAACGACATCCCATATTTTCCAGGAAAATGGGAAAAGCCAGCACAACTGCTTAACTGCTTAAGATGAGCAGAAAGAAGGAGTTGAGGAAAAGTGCAGCAGCAATCAACAATGTTTAAGTTTTGCAGTTTATACAAAATTAATGGACCGCAATTGCAAAAGTTTCTACCAGGTCTAATCTTCGCATAAGATGAGTCATAACTATTGCAAAATAAATGTCAGCTTTTCTTTATGAGCCCAGAAATGATTTATAATTTATTAGTTTGCTGAACGATAAAGGTTTCGTTTGACCAAATAAAAACCAACAATTTGCTGAGAGCCAGTTGAAGTAAGAAATCTATGCAATTTTCATTTTTTTGAGATTATATCTTTGTTTGCCTTTAATTGAATTTATTGTTTGTCAATAGAGTTCAATGCAAAGAACATAAATAATGCACGCACATAAATGGCGAGCAAATAGTGGCAAAGAGTATTTAAACTTAAATGAAGAGTGCATTTTCACACATAGCATGGAGCAAATAAATAATTTACCGAAAGCACCTGCCAGTTTTGGGCTGTGTTCGACTAGGGTCATCAAATAGATTAAATAAATACAGTAAATAAATCATTTAGCGCGTCTCAAGTAACGTATACGCCACGTAGGTCACGGAGCACACGTTTATGGCCTAAATCGCGCAACGGAGTTATAAACACGTATTATATGCCATCCCAAATAGCGGCCAGAGCCACGCTTAGATCCATGCGAGTACGTGACAATTAAATTTATGAAATACTATACGGCCTGGCCGGAAATTCGGGCCAAAAAGAAGCCGGCAAATCCAAATCCAAGTTGAAAACTCAGTTCAAGGGCCGTCCGACGCGTCTCGAATTATATCGCTGCGAAATGGGCGCGTGACTGTTGCCACGATGATGCCAAGTTGGCCCATTAGCGGAAGTTGGGCACACAATGATCTGGCCGAAGGAGGAGTCAGGAGTAAGCCTGGCCAAGAGGTTACTCTAAACGTATTTGCAAGTATGCGGCCCAACCAGAGCTTTAAATCGCACAAACTTATTATGGCCAAGTAAAAGTAGCGATTAACTCAAGAATCAAGAATCAGAATTGACCAGTTTGCGCAGTAACACATTTCTAATCCAGCCATATTCGCTTAAAGGTTCCCAGCCATTTGTTTGGGCCAAGTTACGACTGGCAATAATTGGAGCCGCCAGTTTTAAAGGCCTTTTCTTTCAAGGCAGGCACGAGTATGTTCTATTATTCACTGCTTTGTCAACTGCTGTTGGCCATAAATTCAGAGCCATGAATTCGGCCACGCCCCTATCGCCCACCTGGCCGAGCATTTACATTTTAATATGCATTATTAGCGGGATAATTGTTTGAGAATATTGGCCAAGAACAGACAGCCATAAAAACACGTCGTGGCCATTCCATTTTTGCAGGATATTGGCGTTGGGCTGGCCACGCCCCTCGCCCCTCGCCCCAACGCCTCCATTGTTATTTGTGTTATAATAAATTCAAAAGGCTGCGGCATGAAAAGGAATGAAAAAATTGCCGCGCACTTTTAACGTTCATTTGTCAACTCGGTTTCGTTCGCCATTTGCCTCGTCCATTTTTAATATTTTAATATATCCTGACACGCATTTTTCTCGCACTTGTGCGGCTGGAAAAAGCGCTTTTGTGCTCGTCTTGTTAATAAATTTGAATATTAATAAATAGAGGAGTTGTATTGGCCGCGCCCTCGAGGCACAGAAAAGCAGGAAAATTAATAAAACAAGTCGATTATTTACGACCAAGTTGAAGCTCGACCATCGAAAGGAAAATGGACAAAAAGCGAACAATTTTTCATAGCACATTGATTGCAATCTGGTCAGATTTTTTCCCTCTGGCGAATCAACAGAAACACAAAGTTTTCATTTTTATTCCGTTGGCTCTGTGGGCAATAATTTTAATTGAAGTAAAACAACAATGCAACCACAAATCCTAAACAATGTTTACCATTTATGGACTCTCGTATCGGAATTTAGTCATTTAAAGCGCAGAAAAGTGTATTTTCTTGCACGTGATTTTCTCGTAAACCTATAAAAAATAAGCCCCAATAATTCACAAAGCGATATTTTTAAGTCGACACTAATTGAAAAGCATTGTTGGCCTTTTGCAAGCAAATTATAAGCGTATATGCAATTTAATCTTGCATTGACGTCCTGGATATGGGTTCCTTATCCTCGAGCCTGCAGATAAATCGAAATCAATTCCGAAATGTGAGAATCTGATAGTTGTCTAATTGGAAACTCATGTTTGATAGGCGCAACGCTGGCTAAATTCGATGCTTTTCCTACTTTTCGACGCTCGATTCACACTAATTGAAAAAATAAACTGTAGACTGGGCTCAAAGCGGCGCAAAAATGAAATGAGAAATTCCTGTGCGAATTAACAAGCTTAGTTTTCTCCAAAAGAGTCGAATTAAAATCAAAAATTGTTCTCTGGCCCAGTTCCAAGAATAAAATCCATCACAAAATCTTTGAGACCTCTCCTCTTAGCCAATCAAAACGCAGATAATTGCCTAATGGAAAAGTAACAATAGTGGCTCTATGTTTGGGTCTTCCCAAGCTCGTTCGTCACTAATCAGAAAAGAAAAGCAGAAAGTATTGTCACAAGTTTACGTAATGTGCAGCGAATCTGCAGCAGTCTTTGAAATTCGAAGCTATTTCTTTGCTGAATGAATCGAATACCAAAGTGGATTGCCATAAATTTTTGGGGTCCTCTTCGAAATTGCAATGTAAGGCAAATTAATTTTTGCTCCGTTGCGAGCTGGAAAATGTGGAGACTGGAAAATGAAAGTGGTTGCTTTGCTTTTTAAGCAACTTATTGTCCATAAGAAAGCGGCCGATTTTAGTTTGTGCTAAGAGGTAATAGGTTATCCTAATTCTTATATTTAATGCAGGTTTTAAGTTTTGTTTATTTAAAATAAAAAAATTAACGTGCTGTTGGAACTTTCCTGAAATTCCTGCTCCTGCACCTATTTTGAAATATTAAAATACAAATTGGCGGCTAGGGCGCCGTATCCATGGCTCATCAATTATTTATCCCGAAACTACGGCCCTCGATGTGGCTAAGCCAAATGGAAAAGGCAAACTTTTGCGGCACACACTCTCGCAGGTGCCGGGTGCCGAGGCGACCTGACCACTCCGGACTGCGTCATGTCAATAAGCAATTATTATCCTGCTGACGTGGCCCGGGGCCAAAAGGTGGGACACGTACTGTACAAAGCCCTTGGCCGCCGCAGCCGCCAATTTAAGCCTCTTAAATATAACGAAAAAGCAATTAAAATATAATCAATATGCTGCTCCACTCCGGCCAGCTGCCGCTGGACTTCCATTGAGTTGCGGATGAGTTGGTGCGGGATGTGTCCACCAAAGACGATATGTTTCCTATAGCGATAGTGCTGCTTCTGGCCAAGATCGGTAGCTGGTGCCATGGAGGCACTTGCTCGCCTAGTAGGGAGCCATGCTGTCACCTTGCTGGCACCCAGTTGTCTCATCAGTTGCAGCCACTCCACGAAGCTACCGCTCCTGTCCACGTCG